GAATCATTATTTTTAGCTAGAACGATATAATTATCGTTTTATATGAAAAGAAACGATATCTACGCGTTATACTTGTGAATTGAATTGGAACGATTTCAAACTCGTCAAATTTGTACTAAAACGATATGAATGTTGTTACTTTATTTGTGATTTTGACAATTAACGATATCATTATCGTTTCAATACAAGTTTGACGATGTTGATATCATTTTAACTTAAATCATAACTAAAACTACATATATATCGTTTCAATTAAAATAAAACGATATGAATGTTGTTACTTTATTTGTGATTTTGACAATTAACGATATCATTATTGTTTCAATACAAGTTTGACGATGTTGATATCATTTTAACTTAAATCATAACTAAAACTACGTATATATCGTTTCAATTAAAATAAAACGATAATTATATCGTTTATGCTAAAAATAACGATTCGACTGTCTATGACCACCAGTCGCGCATCTGGTATATGTAGGATGATAAAAATAGATAATCAAGTGGGTTCGATCTCCCTCAAAAGAAACTATGAGAACATTTTTGTTCTAATGATTATATATCACCTTTGAACTATTCAAACAAAAAGTATTTTCATTCACTCTTTTTAAGTCATTCGAGCTCTATCAATTCACTTAATAATATTTTTCGTTTGTTCTACATATGCTAAAGCATAACAGGTGATTGTAAACGATCGAATCTTTATATTTAGTTTGAACGATATAAATATTGTTTTATATGAAAATAAATGATACCTATGTCATTATCATTGTGATTTGAATTGGAATGATTTCAAGCTCATTAAATTTGTACTATGACGATTTGAATGTCGTTGTCTTATTTTGTGGGTTTGATACATAACGATACTATTATCGTTTCAGTACAATTTTGATAACATTCATATCGCTTTAATTTAAATTTTAACTAAAACGATAATTATAAAACACGATCAATTATATGTAAATTTCAATTACATTTAATATCGTAGTTATAACATTCTAGTGTAATCACTTCTGAAACGATATATATGACATTATAGTTACGATTGAATAGGAACGATATCATTGTCGTCGAAAATTGTATT